CACTGACCCCTCACTCCTACTTGAAATAGTCATACTTGGTAACCACCACAGGTCCAGGTGAATGTCTGGTGGAGTAAGCAAACTATATAGTGTCAGAATGTAAATGAACAATGATTACAAGGAGGATTATAATCCTCAACCCTAAACATCAGGATAACAATTTTTTAGAAATAAATTTTATGAATTTATTCTTAAATTAAGAACTTTTAAATTGTGTTGAAGAGAAGAGAGTGGTTTTATGGTATACTGATTGGCAATCTGTATTTGTGTGAAACATCAGGGGGGGGAGCCTTTTTTGAGTTGAGGTGTTTTATTCTTATTTTAAGGTATAACGATAAGAAGTCAAGAAACGATGCGGAAAAGTTGAAGAAACGATGAAATCCTCACATTAAAAGTAAATAATCAAATAACCAATAAGCTTTGCGTGTAATACAATTGTGTAACATCGGGATTTTTTTAAGGGAAAATTCTTAGCAATAACAATTAGCAATAATAACGACTTCTACTGAGAAGCTTGTGGTGGAAATTCACTCGATTTTGAACGCTCTTGAAAACGTAACTATTCATTTTTCTTACGTTCGTGGCCATAGCGGTATTTTGGGCAATGAAAGAGCAGACCAATTGGCTAGGGAAGCTACGTGTGGTGAAATAGACTTAAGGGTGTCTATTCCAGCTTCTCACTGGAAGCGCATCGCTAGAGATAAAATCATTGCGGACTGGAATGCTGAATTTCTTGCTTCGCCTCGGTCGCTTTAGACGAAAAGGTTCTTTCCATCCATTTTTCACCGTTTGCAATGTAAATTCTTTGCAACTGATTTTAAATTGACCCAAATTTTAACAAACTATAGAAATTTTAAGCAATATTTATTTCGTTTCCATCTGCAGACCAGTGGAATTTGTGCTTGCAGTGATGCTGATGAAGATGCTGAACATATTCTTCTTCATTGTAGTCTGTATGCGAGTGCCCGAATGAATTTAAAGACTGATTTGAGACGTCTTTCTATTTGTTGGCCACCTGTCTTGTCAGAACTGGTCAAAAGTGTTGAAAGTCTTGCGGCCTTGCGGAATTTTGTTTTTAATGTAAATTTGTAAATTTTTCTTCCTTTGTTTTCTACTTACAACTGTAAGCCTCATGCTATACTTTGTGGTGCATGAGGAGTTTTAAGTCGTTTAAATAAAATAAAAATAAAAATATAACAATGAAAAGAATGATTGATACACCAAATGGATTAATGAGGATATCGGTGCAAACCAATCATATCAAAGAGAGATTTCTTGAATTCTCGATTCGAACTTTGCATGCTGAAACATTATCAGTGTTTTTAAAAAATTAATAATAACCGAGCAATGAAAGACAGCGGGATTTTAAAAAAAAAACACATAAAAATTCATAGCAATAATTGCCGAAAAAATTATCGAAACACTACACATATTTGGAATGAAATTGGGCCAAGTTGCAAGCAATAAAGTAAAGACTCGATTGCGTGATTTAAAATTTTCAAGTGCGTAATATAATAAAATGGATCGATTTTATTTCAATTCAATTAAAAAAAAGACGAAAAAATGTACAACATGAATTAATTAATTATTTTGCTATAAATCTGAATTTGAAACTAAATCCCCACTCACAGTCAAATTTTATTAAAATGTAAAGTATGGTGTAAAGAAATGAAAGGAAAATCATGATTTCTAGAGCAAACTATTTTTTAAACTTTAGCAATTTTAGATTTTTTTTTTAATATTATATATTAAAATTTGATCTGAAGCCAGTCATTATAAAATTTCTTTAAAATCTCAAATAAGAATCGAAAAATCGCGAGCATTTCTTTCCCCTCTCCAATGCCTGTGAAAGACATTTTTTTGAACACAGCTCTGCTGAGAAAAAAAAATCCTTACAAATATTTCTGCAAGAACCTAATAACGTTCTGCGATAATGTCGCAGTGTTGCCGCGATTCTGCCACAGGGACCCTGATTCTGGTATTTACCCAAGGCACAAAGGTAAATACCCATTTATAAATGTATCCTACCCACGTCTGTAACTAACATCTGCATAAGGATGTGTGGGGATTTTTTTTTAATATTATATATTAAAATTTGATCTAAAGCCAGTCATTATAAGAATTTTTTAAATTCTCGAATAAGAATCAAAAAATTACGAGCATTTCTTTCCTCTCCAATACCTGTGAAAGACATTTTTTGAATACAGCTCTGCTGAGAAAAAAAAATCCTTACAAATATTTCTGCAAAAAAGAAAATTAAAGTTTTTTACTTCTCAAAGAAAAAATCTTTCTGCAAGAACCTAATAATGTTCTGCGATAATGTCTCGGTGATTCTGCCACAGGGACCCTGATTCTGGTATTTACCCAAGGCGACAATGTCAACCTTCATCTATGAAAAGGTACCCCACCATAGAATCGAGTTAACATGGCTTATATACTAGTGGATTAGAATTATATTTTTGTAGTGGTAGATACACTACAGGTGTATCTATCCGGAATTACCTTTCAGAACCATTTTAGCTCGTGTGGTTTCTTTTGTGTAGTATGTCTCTGGCTGCTGCACTTGTAAGATGAGAAGTACAATTATCTAACAATTGATTAATAGTAAAATTAACTGACTATAGTCAAAATACAAACTGTTTTGAATTCTACAATAGCCATTCCTAATTACCAGTTGATATTTAGTCAAATGATATTCTCAAGTTACATCTCTGAAAATTTTAAGCGATTACATTGAGATTAATAGACTACTTAAAAACATTAAAATTTTTTATTTTGCAAATATTTTTTTAAATAATATACATTATACTCATGAATATAATGTATAAAAGATAATTTTCTTTACTATTAAATATTAATTTATATTTCCAAAAGAATTATAAGCAATACGTAATTATAAACAGTGAAATTATCCAATAATTTGGAACAAGTGGATGGATAATCCAAATCCTTTCAAGTAGGTACCGGGTAATTCTGGTTTTCCCAATCAATAGAGAATATTCAAATATCAATCATATACAAGGCTGATTTTTAATGCTAAATAATAATCTTCAAAAATAGCAATAAATCACGTTTTCTTATTTATAATAATTTTACTAAAAGAAACTATTTATAATCCTTAGCATGATTAAACCAGCACAAATTTATTTTTGAATAATCTAAAGATTCCTGAACTATATTTCACAAGAGCTATCATCAATCAATTGACTTTGAAAGTGTTAAATTCACAATCAATTGATTGTGAATTAAACACACTCTAAGATTGCACATCGCAAATCGAAGAATTAACAAAGGAGAGGAGAATGGACTGATAATGATGGCACCTAAGAGAATTTTAAAAAAAACTATTTGATTAACAGATGGTGCTATCTTTAAACATCATCCATTGTAACTGTTTAAAAACTATTTCGATCCTCAAATATTGTTTATAAATGAATATTTATGTTTTAAGAATAATATTTTATCCTCTTTTTGAAGTTCTTACAGCTAAATATGAGTAATTAAATTGATTGAATAAATAAAAAACGAAACTACAATTCGCTATTTCCTTTACAAATGCTAAAATCAGCGAAATCTGTTTAAGATAAATTAAAAATCTAAGAGAGATTAAGCAGAGCTCATTCTAGGTAGGGTAAACAGGGCGCAGCACCCTGCTGCCCTTTTAGTCAAAAGAATTCATCCTGTTGCCCCTGAAGTAAATTAGTACCCTTTTTGCCCTTTCTTTCCTTAACCCTTCTTTATTTTCAACTCTTTTTATTTAGTTTGTCATTGCTGTCAATACATAGATTTATATGGGAAAGGAAAAATAGCCATCACACCCCCTTGTTGAACTTGTCTTTGAAAGGTTTGCAGTTTACTTCACTATCATTAAATCATAATTATTATTAATCATTTTAATTAATTACTAAATCATAACTACAGACACTTAAAAACATACATTTATTATTTTATTAATATATGCATGGATTTTAAATAAATTACCAAGCTCATTAACTCGATATATATATATATATATATATATATATATGTTAATTTATTAATATGATTGCTTTGGTACTTTTAGTAAAGTAAAAAAAATGACAATGTTTTTTAATAGAAAGTGTTAAGCCCATAGAAAGAAATTATTGCCTTCTTAGAACAATAATGCCCTTTTTTTTAAACTTTTGCACCTTGCCCTTTTTTCTGCCTAGAATGAGCTCTGGATTAAGCTTTAAAAATAATTTTTTTTTTTTTGGGGGGGGGAGGAATTACAACAAAAAAAAATTATTGAAATAAATAAAAATCAATAGTAGTATAACATGCAAGTGTAAAACAGATAGACAGGTGACCCTAAGGACAAACCAAAACTTTTAGTTATCTCACACCCTTATCAATGCTATAATCAAATTCCAGGTGATTTCCCTTTCCGTGTACATGCAATAAACAAAAAATAAATTATTTTTACCATATAATAAATTTACAGGCAATCAGTCGTTGAATCAAATTATACAAGCATTTATATCAAATATATCATACATCAGCTTTGTTGCGATGGCCAAATCAATAAAATAAAGATTTGCAAAGAAAAATTCAATTACTATTCGGTACTTATAAACAAAAGTAAACTAAGATTTCAAAATTAAAATAGTATTCACATGATTTTTTGGCGAAATAGTATCTACATATTTAAAATGAAGCTAATGAGAACTTACAAACAAGAGTTAAATCAAAATTAATTATAACATCAATATATTCGAAGGAACAATTTAAAAAATCTTTTTTATGCACAACTTGATAATAAATAGCATGCGCCAGTGCAACATGCCTCAATTTTCACTTTAATACATTTTATATTTATTTAATATTTCGGCACGGCTAATGTTGATTGTTTTACGTAGTGGCTCTTTTTAATGTTTTATGTATTGAGACACTTGCTTATAGCTTGCATAGGCAATTTTAAATTGGATCGTCAACGGTTACAACCAAGTTAAAGGAGTAAATTGCATTATAGATGTCGCTTTTGTTAATTTAAACATTAGTTACAATTTAGTTGGCATCACAGTCAAGCTTCTTTCTGCTTTCTAGATATTTTTCGATTTTAATCTTAAAAGAAGTTTAGTTCTGACTACTGAAGGAACGGAAATATTCTACGTTTGAAAAATAATTTCGCTTGAAAATGTCTGAAGAACACTTTGATCAATTTGAACACTACAATTATGATCAAGAAAAATTTGTGAATGCTGGTCATGGAGGAAAACAAAGGTCTAAAAAGGAACTTGGTGAGCACCACAACAAACATGACCCTTGCGGAAATGTACGAAAAATAGTTACTAAAATGCAGAATACTGAAGTAAATAGAAGAGAAGGAAACGTAAATAAGCCGACGTAGCTATTAAATAGCGTATGTGGTAAGTATGTTTGTACATACTTGTTAGTTTATTTTTTCAGCATTAAGACTCTGTTAGCCTGAATTTTAACTTTTTCTAACTATGAAAAGGCATATTATCGCTCTGAGAACTCAGAAAATAAATTGTTTAAGTGTGTACATAAGTTTTTGGCGTTAGCTTGATCTATTTTACAATTTAGTTTGCCGAAGGTTAACAATCAGATTCTTGAAAATCTAATCTTAGATATATTTAGCACAAGTTGCAGGTTATTTTTGAGTAACAATCGATATTTCCAATTCAAATTATGAAGCTACAATTCTGGTACAAAAATGGCTTTTTCCTCTCAGACACAAAATCTTCTTTTACAGGACCCTGACAAAGAAACATCCCAGTTCTACAGTAATATTAGATTCCAAAATTTATGAATAAATTTACACAAAATGTCTGCGCTTGTGATATTTCGTATAAACGAAACATTATTTACTCAAAAAATTGTGTAGATTTTTCACAAAATCAGACCTTATAACAAAATCATAAATAGTCTCCAGATGTAATGTTTTACAAATTTTAAAACTGTTTTTTACGTTGGGATAGTATCTCAACTTGTTTATTCCGTGTGCTTTTGTTTTTATTGTGAGCTGATAAATATATTAATCAAATAAGTCATTGTCCTAATATACTTCGTGAAATCAGAATTTTTTTTTTTTAGTTTCAAGATATGATGAAAATTATTTAAAGTCAGAGAAAATAAAAGCTGCTTAAAAAAGTTGTAGGGTTTTAAGGTTATTTTTCAATGGCATTACTACTTTACCCTTTTTAAAATTTGTAGCTTTAAATGATTTGAAAATTTCCAATTGATCCTGTATGATTTTGTCTGATGTAGAAATTGAATCAGAACATTTTTTGTTTTCCTTTTGATTGCCTTAAATGAATCAGGCAGAGAAACAGATGACAATCTTTCTGATTGGATTTTCAAATTCTGATTAAATTGTAGTGATATTGATTTCTGATTTAATTATAGTAATATGTATTTCACTTGACTAAAATTCAAAATTTAATTTAAAAAATTATATCTGTATTTATTTAATAATTTAATTAGAATAGTTATAAATAGAAGGATAATTTTTTTCTTGATATTTTCTTTCCTATTAAAGTGTTATGATATTGAACTTCTTTGGTTTATTAAATGCATAAAACACCATATTATATTTTTGAAAATTCAATTAGTGTTAATTATTTGGTTCTACATTTTACTTATATTGGCTAATTATAGAACATATTTTAAACAAAAATCTGCATGTAGGATCATTATAAAGTTATTAGCATAGTTTACTTACGAATTTATCAAATCAAATTTTAAAAATTCAAAGAAACAGTAATGGTAAATTATTTATAAGGGTAGTAAGCGTAAAAAAGTTCTTAATTACTCTGTTAGCATCTTGATAAAGGTGGGTAAAAAACTTTTGGAGACTATTTTTTTTATGGTTTCTTAGTTTTCTTATGACAAGATCTTCAACCTTATCCTGCTCGGGAAGGCATACATAACTTTTTTTTAAATAAATTAAATTTTAAAAAAACGAAAATGTAGAATACTTATAGTAGCCAGGGAGTGATAGAAAGTTTAATGTCCCATTGGATAATTATTTGATTATGACTCTATTTAGATTATCAATGTAGTGATAGTCAAAATGAAATTATGCAATATTTTTTTTACCACTTAAACTGTTAAAATTAGGAAAGGTTACCACCAAGGTTTTTAACTTTAAAACCAGATGAAATAATCAAAAACCTAAGATTAATGGCACGAGATTATGTGAAGTTTTTTTTTTTGTTTTTTTACTGGTTATATTAAATTTAAATTATTATTAACAGTTAAAATTATTATTCTGCAATGTGCTATTATAAATGTGAATAAAACTATTTGTTCCAATATTGTAAGTACAATGTTTTACGATTTTGTTTTTTCCTATGCTAGGATTGTCAAAAACTTACCAACACTAGTTAGTAATAGTTGACAACTACGAGTGTTACGAGGTATGCATTCTTCGTACAGGACATCAATTAAAATGGGGTTCATGGTTTTCTACTTAATAATCAAATGTAGTTCTTAAATTATGTATATTTGGCCTTTGCTTTATAATTAAAATTGTATTTTTAACTTTTAGTAAACTCTGAAAAAACATCTAACATATAACAAAAAAAATTTAGATTATAACATATTTAATGACATTTTCTTTGATCAAAATATTTTTTGAAACAAATGTAATTTAACAGTATTAGAAAAAGCAAGATGTAATTTATTTTCAGTCAATAAAACTAGTAATAGATTCAATGAATAATGAAAATTTGTTTAAATATTAAGCTATTTTAAAAATTTTATTTTAACTTCTTTGGGAGGACCACGCTCTGTTCAACAGAAAAATAGTCATTAATGGAAGTTTGTTGTTCTTTGGGGTTTGACTTCAAAATATCTATTGACTTCAAAATATCAACGGTACATAATTTTTCGCAAGCCATTTTATTTTTACTCAGGGTCATGTTTAAGTTTGCATTTAAATTTATAGCTAAAAATTTGTTAGCTTTAAAAATAAAAATAAAAACGAGAAGAGAATAATTTGCTTGAGTGCTTGTTTTTTTGTTGTTGTTGTTTTTTCTAAAATAACTTTTTTTTAAATCTAATTTAACTTTCAACTCTAAGATTAAATCATTGATTGCATCAAAAGAGCTCTCTAAATAAGAGGCACTCACAAATATTTTGAATCTATTTATTTGTTTTGTTATTTTATGTATTTATTTTCGTTGATATGTTCCGTGTTCCGTAATAGCTGTTGCTAAAATGGTTTAAAATTCTGAATCTTCTCATTTAAACTATTGTTTTTAATCTTAAACTTCACATGTTAATGTTAATCCAGTAGTTGGAGAAACTATATTTTTATAGACAGTTACTATATTACAAATGTAGTCATTGCTTTTAAAAAACAAATTTTGCTAACGGATTCAATTTACCGTGGATTCAATTTATTATCCATATTTAAAATAAGATAAAAAAAAAGTTGAACATAAAAACATAAATAGTTTAACACAATAAATTGGCTTGTTGACGTGAGCTAATTTGTTATACTGAACCATTTTTTTACTTGATTTTCTTTCAAAATTCCAACTTTTTATGCCTTTCTTGATAGTGAGTATTAAATTTAAATAATGCTATTAAATTATTAACTATTTTTAATAAAGTTACAGACCAAATTTTTTCTTTATTGAAATTTTATGGATATATTATAATGAGCGAATTGCTAAATTAGCTGTAACCCGTAATGACGAGATAAAATCTAAAATGCTCTGCCTTGATGATATTATTATTGGAGCTACTAATGGACTCTCATAAGATTTGTACTAATCAGATTCAAAAATTAATTGCGCTTAAACCTCTCTCCTTTACTGAACTAAAATTAAAAGCAGTTGACAGGTTGTCACAAACTTGTATTTTCTTACATCACAGTTCTCACTATGCTTCTTTTTCTTATAAAAAAAATGCTGCATTACATTACATACTACAAGAAAATACACTTGCAGTAGTTTACTTTTACCACATTATTTCTGACCACTGTGCTAATCTTGGTTATTTCTACAACTATAGGTCGAAGATTAACACAGTGGTCAAAAATAATGTGGTAGGGTGACCCGGGGTAATTCACGATCACTCTGTTTCTGGGGTAAATAATGATCACGTAGTGTGGGCCTACTGTTGAGAT